AGTCATTCAGCATAATTGTCATTGCATGCTGCCTCACGATATGTTCAGCAGCCTGTTCCATTCGCATCGGCTTGAATTTCAAGAAACGTTCGGGTTGGAACGTATGCCTGCCTTTTGGGCGGGTGCGAGCAGGCTCAGGGAGCTGAACGTAAGATGTCGCATGTCTCCAGCCACGTGTCGTGCGTAGACAGCGCGATCCACTCGCAAGCAATGCCTGCAAGTGGCGCCCCAGACATGTTTCTGGAGTCTGGCATACGTTGGACAACGCGGCGTATTGGTGTGACCGACAAAAACATCAGGCAAACGCGTGCCTGAAGTTTCTCTGACGTTTGACAAACGTCAGAGGTACATCAGACAAACGTCTGCCTGAAGTTTCTCTGACGCTTGACAGCGTCAGACAAACATCATACAAACGTTTGTCTGGAGTTTCTCTGACGTTTGGCAAACGTCAGAGAAACATCATACAAACGTTTGTCTGAAGTTTCTCTGACGTTTGACAAGCGTCAGAGAAACTTCAGACAAACGTTTATATGACGGTTGTCTGACGTGTGCCAGTCTTATGGGGCGGTGTTACAGCTCTGAAACCAATGACAGGTGCGCCGCCCAGGTTTGGTTTTACCCCCATCAAGATTCACACGGTGTGCGTCTGCAGTTTCGTCTAATTCCTTTCCAGGTCCGACCCCCGTCTCCGCAGACGCCCAGTTTGGAAGATCCCTGACCGCGAGAAGCACGCCATCCCAATACGAATACATGGCGACGGTGGTGAGATCTTAACTGCTGAGTCAATGATGGTTATATCGATGTCTGGTCTGCTTGCGCGGGGCTCGACACGAGTGTTGTCATTGTTGATGGGGGCGTGGCCGCGCAGTGGCACTGCAAAGAGGAAACACCACGACGGACACGACACGTGGCACGAGATATGGCGAGTCGTTCGCTGGAGCTTGAACGCCCTCGCTCAGGGCCGCCATCCATCCAAAGATACCATCGGCCGTTGCCTTTCCCGCAGACCCCCAATACATCGCCAACCTTCTGTCGGTGGCTGTCATTCTGGTTTTCGGTTTCGAACGCCTCGCGTTTCGACAATTACTGATCCATTGCGTTGTGGCGCGTAGTGTTTTCCAAACCGCT